GCAACTGCAGGCAACCACTGGGACCCACAAGTTTTGAAAGGCAACAAGAGGGTGCAGAGCAAGGCAGTCCAGAATTAACACGTGCTCATGCTAGAGCAGCACTGAAAGAAGTAAACTTAGACCTGAGAAAAACCAGATCTGCTGCTCCATGTGCCCTGCTAGGTTGTCCCCAGCTCAGGCTCCATCAGCAGTAACAGCCAGCACCCTTAGCTTCATGGTGAGCAGGGTGGGACCCCAATTAAGGCTGCACTTTGCTATGCAACCAATACAAAAGAGCCAAGTTTAGGTAGCTAGAAGGACTTTTCCTTGCAGCAGAGACCTGCCAAGCGTGGAGTGCTGCAGTAGCTCCAGGACAGCCCCTTCCCTCCAGCCCCTAGGGAAGCAGGGGCTGCAGCAGCTCCTGAGTGTCAGGATGGCTCATGGTGGCAACTGCCACATGACCAAGAACCACATCTTTAATGAGAAAGGCCCTTCAAATGAATAGAGCTTTATGCAGCAGCACGTTTAACATTTACATAATGCCCCATTATATTTGACTGAGACACACTACTGAGTAGAAGCCAAATTCTGCCTCCAAGTTGTACTCTAGGACCCAACACAGAAAGAGCAGGAAGGTAAGGTTTGGCCCTCTGACTGTGATTGAAAAGATGTAAGAAAAATCCAAAGAGCAATTCTATTTTCCCCCTTACACTAAGGATAAAACACTGTGCTAAGAAAAGGTTTGAATTCAGATGGAAGGAGAAAGGTTTCATTTGTTCCCTTATAAATACCAGGGCATGAATGCACACTTATGAGAAAGTGACACGACAATGAAAAACAGATTTCAATAATATGATAGTGATGTTTGCAAACCTAGGGGACCTGCCTGCTGCTAAGATCAACAGAGACATGCTGTGAGATTCAACCCAGCTGTCAGATATTCATTACTACTTCAACTATCCTTCACATACTGTATAAAAACTCATTTTATGCCTTCTTTCTTTTTGTATGCAAGGAAACTTGCTGATAATGGCTCTGTCTCAGGGAGCAGTAAATGTACTCTTGTAACTTCCCCATTTCATTTCAATGAGCTCCTTTCTTGAAGTGACCTGCACCCCAGTGGGAGCCCTAAAACACGTGGGTATGAAGGAGCTTGATTTAGGCACAGTTGCCAGCAGCACAGCCTGAAAGCTGTCCCAGAAAACCTTGGAACAGCCCATTTCCACCCCCAAAAGGCTGCTCCATAACAAGATACCTTCTTCAGTCTTCATTCACAGGGAGTGATAGTTCATCAACCACCGAGTTCAAGTAGGACCCAATTCCAGCTGTTCTTCTCACAACTGTTTTTGAGACCTAAGTCATTTTTCATTCTTGTTGTTGCTGCCTCTAACATTTAGTAAAATATCCTAAAAATTACTCCAGCACTCCTGGCAAAGGCAGAACTTCTTTCTATTTAGAGTAGTAGTAACCAGGTTTTAGAAGTCAGTCTTCTCTGTTGTATCTGGACTCAGCTTTTACAACCAAAAACATAAGAGAGATACTGGCAGAGTATTTAATAACCCAAATTTCATGCCATTCAACTCTTTGACATTCTGGTGCCTTCCAGAATTATTTGAGTAACATTTCCCCAACATTAAATACTTCCAAATAATCTTTGTGTAACCACAGCAAACGATAGCCAAATGTATCCCACTTTAAATGAAATACAAATACTTAGAATGAATAGAACACTAAGAGAATAAAACCTGGCATGAAACAGTTGAGACACTTCTAAAGATAGGGCAGCTGCCAAAACTTTTAATTCACTACAACAGATGTCATCTGCATCTAACAATATACATTAACAATTGGGGGCATATTCTTGGCTTAAAACACTTCAGAAAACACAGCACAGCTGCTTTTTAAGAGAGCAAACAGAGCAGCTGAGGAATGTGTTACACCCCTGTGCCTGGAGCTCAGTCTTACCTGCAAGATACAGCTCATGATATCAGAGGCAATTTTTGCATGAGGTGTGTCCTCATCTTTTCCAGAAGGCTTCAGGTTGTGTTCTAGACAGGATTCCCAGAGAGCCACCAGGGCTTTCCCATGCTTGTCTATGGATGCTGTCTCCCTGATGGCAGTGGTGATGCGAGTGATGCAGATCTCCACCACGGCCTGGTCATTGTCATTGGTCTGGTAGTCCTGGTTCAA